CCAGATGGTATGGATGGTAACATGAATTTTGTCGCGACGTGCGATGGTGAAATTGAGCGGCTGGAATTAGTCCGAACAATTCCTCAGAGCACTCCCCGTGATAGATGCGATAAAATACGCAAAGAGATGCAACATCTCTACGCAGTGCCAGTGTATCGAGCCGATCGGAAAGAACTCGGTCGGTATATACCACACTTGGCAGTTAGGACAGTAATTTTTAATTAATATTATTTTTGTGGTGCAATATAAGTATATCCATTTTTCTTGAAACGAGGCATTCCATTTTTGTCGTGTGGGGTGACAACAAATCTGCATTTTGATTCTAATTTGAGGATAGATGTAAAAGAATATGGGCCACATAATCCACTTAACATCAGGTGGACTGTGTGTTCAGTTGATACCATATTAAAAAAAGCAGGAAGATGATGCAAAAAATAAATTAACTAAAACTATTCCTATAATATGTAATTAGTAGAAGAAGTTCGATGTATTGAATAAACTACTTTTACGGATTTTATTACTTTTAAAAACATCTTAGATTTTATCTCGCTTAATTTAATAAATTTTTAGGCGTCGTCAAAAAAGTCGGAGGAAGGTTTTGAATTCGATTTCGATTGTATATTTTTTGTATGTATGCGATACCTTTGTTAATTATGAAAAGATATTGATGATTCTTTTTAGAGTTTATTTGAGTTTACTCCTTGAGGATCGTTTCATATAAAGCACACGGTACGAAAAATGGATGGCTACTAAAATCAAGCGTTAACAAAAATTGAAGTCGTTATGGTTTGCCTCTGCGCATCTCACGCGAAATAAATAATATCATATAGTTTTAAATAATATAATTTATATATTTATTTGATCAAATCAATATTAATAAATATGTGTGTTCATTTACTTAGTTTGCATATTGTAAATATTATATGACAATCGTTTTTCAGGAGTAAACTCCAGTCACGCGTCGGAGCTGGCACGCACAATTTTTTTAATAATTTTATTACATATGTTTTATTCTAGTGATGCTTCCATATACATTTGGAGATAAATTCACTCCTCAGCAAGTAGGGTACGAAGTTTTGAATGTAACTACTTAGACGACATTGTGCTTGTTATATTCCTTAGTCCACTCAAAAGGGTAAAAAATAACTCAAATCGACATTCTCGTTTAGTTGGGGGTCATCGGGCAGTGTGCTTCTCGAGAATATATCAACGGATACCAAGTCTATTTCTCGAGAACCTTTCTTCCGTAACCGCTGTCCGTTCTTCAAGCTTTATGGCCGGCCCATTGACATTGCAGCCTTGCATTGTTTTATTGATCCATAGATTTTTGAGAAGAGAAGAGAAGAGAGAAGAGGCTTTTGTTGCTTCCTCGGACACACGATTCGTTGGTTGCTAGTAAAAAGGGGTTCCAGTTATACACCATACGAAACATTAGTATCCTTCATATAATTGAAATCCAGTAAATTAAATGTGAACGTAGTAAAACCAGATATTAAGAAACATTTTATTGATCAGTGCATTAAAACCTTAATATCAAGAAGATTTGAAAAGTTTTGACAGCCCTTAATATTTCGTCACACGCAAACAGTTCGGGATCGCTTGTCGCGAGCTACTTACATCATGTCATTTCGCTTGCGGGCCGGAAATAGCGCGGAATCGATGCGCTCATTATCAAACAATTAACTGAGTAGGTCGCGGGTGTTCGCTTCTATAAACAAGTGCTGAGTCGTGTGCATAGTAGTGCATTTGATATGACGACGGCGTAGAGCGTGAACTAATCGTTACAATTTGTGTCGTGAACGCTTTCCGACAAGACTTCCCTCTGTATGTCTGTCAGACGTTCTAATTTTAAGTTCTTCGAGGTATGGTTTAGTGAAATGAAGCTACTTTATTATCTACATGTTATAAGTTGTATTATTTGGAAGAAATACGTCATCTTCCTTTGCCTTGTTTAATATTTAAAAAAAAACGAATCGATAGTCCATAATTTAGCTAATTGATAAAACTGGAAATCTTGGGAATCCAAAATGGTTAAAATTAAATGTTATATAATCTGTATAATTAGTTTTATTTAATGTATGGTGCACGCGAGTGCCTGAATGAGATCTTGAATACTGGTTAAAATTAATTACTTCCTGGTTGTTTTTCAATAGGCACAAAGCTTGTACAAATTTAGGTCATTTAGTCCCACTAAAAGTTCTATATTATGTTATAACAATCGTTTTATATAAAATATAATAAACGAACATACAGATGCTAAGTTGATGTTATAGCTCATAGACATCTAAATTTATATCCTCGAATAAGAGGATAGACGTAGATGTCTATTTGTGATATGACATCTGCATCTCTCCTCGAACAAAATGATAGATGCATATGCCAAATCACACCTGAGGACTAAGATGGAATGCCTCGTAGTCAGTATAAAGTCTCCGGTACTCTTTTTCTCTTTACGAAACACAGCATCATTATACTGCTATTTTACGAGCTATTCTTGTCCTTGAAAGTGTCTTTACCGGTAACCGTAGTCTATAGATTAAATTCTAAATAAAGAAAGCCCAGCCTTTTTACGTGACCAGTTTCCAGACTTTTTAACTTTATATGAGTTTGCTTTAGGATTAAATAAGTCTATAAATATTGTTTCTGAAAATAAAATAAAAATATAAATAAAACTGCTGCGATTGCATTAGAAAAATAAAATGAACTGCATGAAAATGCAATGAAAATAAAAAACTATTTACGAGATACAAAAAACAAATAACTCCTAGTAGCAAAACGAAGACATAGATAATACATTAAGTATGCCTTTCTGTTTCTTATCGTGGATACACTTTACATAAATAAATTGCTCTTGGACAAAGATCCAGTCGAGACCCGGAATATTTTTTGTGGGTCATACAAACACTTGTTGTGTCAGTATTTAAATCCACGAACCACCGAGCTAAAGGAGATAAAACCCAGTCTGTATGTTTTATTGTTGATCGTTATTTAAATTTCAAGGGTCTAGATTCTAGAGTGTAGAAGATTGATTACTTCTGTTCCGAAATATTTGATCAGTACTGCATTTATAAACCATTATATATATTATCGGTGCTAATCCGCCCAGGTTACACAGCCGTCAAGAAAATGCATTCCTAGATTGATTTTATTTTTATTTTAGTAGTATGTATTTAAAAGACTATAAGTGAAGATTATTATAAAGCCCAACGGATTAGTAAGCTGAAGTGGCAATGGGCCGGCCATATAGCTTGAAGAACCAACAACCGATAGGGAAAAAAGGTTCTCGAGTGGCTGCCTCGTACCGGCGGACGAAGTGTGGGGCGTCCCCCCACTAGATGGAGTGAAGAACTGGTAAGACATGCATGAAGTCAATGGATGCAGGTGGCTCAGGACCGTGCTTTGTGGCATTCCTTGGGGGAAGCATACGTTCAGCAGTGGACTTGTGAAGGGCTGTAATGATGATGATGATGAATTGGAGATTCTTATTTGGATGGATGTAAGAGGCCTTTTTTAAAGTGGTACATATATTTATATACGTACCACTTTTAAAAGGCCTCTAAACATGTACCCTGATTACATGTTTACCACTTCCTGAGAGCTCCACTGATAACTGATCTCATATAAGATAACTATTGTTTGCGACAACTCTGAGACAACGGAAGAGAAAATAAAGAATATCTGCTAATTCCTCGACTGTTAATTTAAATCCTAATAGTTACGCTATTAATTATCTCGGATAAATTAGAATCACTTTATTGCAGACGAATTTAGTTGAAATAAGATAAAATATTTATAATTTCTTTAAATCAAAAAAAGAAAAAGTTATTCTTAGATAAAATACTAAATCACTGTTAAAAATGTATACATTTCTATAATTACAATTGTCCCGCTTATTCCGATTTACAAATGGAACAAAGTTCACAATTAACTTTTAAAGATCGATGCAGGGGCTGCTCACCTAAGTCGAACACCGCAAGCCTACTTTACGCTAATCAACTTTATGGATACAGTTAGCGAACGCACTCGCAACTTCCAAACAGCGTCCGAGAGGTCTCTACAACTCTTTATAGTATTACGTTAAATAACTGTAGGACATTGTTAGACTTCACAAGAGCTAATGGATCGTCTCTGTGCTTAGAGCGAACAACTTTTATGGATAAGTACAATTGAGTTAAGAGTTGAAAATAGCACTGCAAATAGCTTTGTTCGTGATGCTTTTAATTTCTTAATATTATTTAGTGATTTAAATATAGCAACAACAGTTCTAACGATACTTATTTAGTAATATGCGTGGATGTTTATTTTTGCCACACCTAAAACACCTCATCTAGTATTTCAGTATGCTGCGTGATTGCGTCTGTAGTATAAAAACTAAATAATATATCTTGTTAAAAAATTAGGACACCCATAAAATAGCACTCTTTTTCTCTTATATCTCTTATGTTTCTAGATTTAAGAACATTTAAAACATTGTAACACATTTAAAAACCGTGTATTAACGGTGTAAGAATATTCACTACCCCACTACATTCTGTGGGTGTCGTGAAAGGTGACAGAGGGAAACCGAAACAGGAATTCTCACTGAATATCGGTGTGAAATAACAGCTTAATGCTGCTGTGTTTCAAATGCTGAGTGTAGATAACCGGGGACCCTTTTTACTGGAAACGAGGTATTCCATCTTAGTTCTTAGGAGTGACAACGCAACTGCATTTTGGCTCTTAATTGAGGATAGATGTAGATGTCTCTGAGCCACAACTTCCATTTACCATTAGGTGAACTGTGTGCTCCTTTGTCACTCTATTTCTATATAAAAAAACAGTATCTGGAATTTCTTCCGCACAGCAACTCAAAATTATAAAAATATAAATTATATATATGCGGTTACCAACTCACAAAATCCTTTCTGATCTATGAAGGACGCTTATGTTCAGCAGCGGGCTTTTATAGGCTGTAATGAATAGATGGTAAAACCTTTGAAATGTGACAAAATTGCACTTACTTGGCGAATCGGCAAGTAAATCCGAGTCATCCTGCGAGGGCGATTTCACTGAGCCTGGCGACATCTTGACCGGCGCGTGTGGCGATGCGTTGGGAGCTGATCCGCTGCCCGAGCCGCTCGTCGCGCTGCTCGGCACGCCGCTCGCGTGCGACGTCGTGATTGTGATTTCGCCGTTAGACGCAGCGAGCCTGCACACCGATATCATTACGATACAGCTACAACAATGGTACGCTTGTGGTTGTGTACGCAAAGATGATGTCATAAGCTTAGTGTATTTGTAGATACTTCTAAATTCTTGGAATTAGAAACATGATATTAAATTTATGATATTAATGTACATTCTTTACGTGGTAGAGCCATGCTGCAGCTATATTATGGTTGTAGCACGAATGGGTCAGCTCGACCCGGGGAGGACCACGCTCTCACAGAATACCAGCGTAAAACAGCATCTTAATGTTGCTGTTTCGTATAGTGAGTGTAGAGAACCGGAGACCCCTTTTAATGGAAATGAGGCACTTCATCTTAGTCCTCAGGGGTGACAACGCATCTGCATTTTGATTCCAGGATAAATGTAGATGTCTATGAGCCACAGCACCACTTACCATCAGGTGTACTGTGTGCTCGTTTGTCATGCTTATTCTATAAAATTAAACATTATTTATATGATGACATGACGTCTTCGAGTCGCTCCGACAAAAATTTAAGGAAATTAATATATTAATTTTGGCTTCTCCTTACATTTATGAAAATATAATGTACGTACACAAAAATAAAGGTAGTTATTCATTAATAAGTGATATTCATTCTGTAAATACTAGGAACAGACACAAACTAGTAGTACTAGTTACTCGACTCCACCGAGTCAGTAATTCATTCTTGGGGCGATGTATACGCTTACAAAATTTGACCTGCTCAAAGTTCAAAAACTTTATTAAAAAAAAAGTTTGTATAAAAGGGTTATTATAGTATTAAGGCATTTATGGACGATAATAACCCCTGGGAATGAGGGTATCGCTACCAAGCTATTACTAATTTGTTTTGTGTGGTTAATTGTGTTACATACATGATTGTAAGCTGATATTTAAAAAAAAAGTCCCACTGGGTTTCTTGCTGGTTCATCCTAGGACAGAGGTTTTATTCCGAACCAGTGGTAATTAAGCAAAAGAGTGGTATTACTTTTAATCTATATTGAATAAAAAAGTTTCTGTTTCTGTTTCTAAACCATCTAGGACCTATTCAAATACACATAAAAAATCATCAAAATCGGTCGAGCCGTTTTTGAGTGTTAGCGAGACTAACGGGCGGCGATTGATTTTTATACATATATAGAGAGAAAAAGCCTGACACCAAGAGAATATAATTACTATATTTTAGCCTGAAAATTTATAAAATTCGACCGCAATCCTGAAAAGAGCCGAAAAAACCTGACGTGTCAGGACAAATCCTGATATATGTTACGTTTAACTCTATGTATATATAAAAATAGTGGTTTAAGTACAACTTAAATCACGTGTAGCTTAAGTACGCTTTAAAATACAACACAGTTGTTTTTAAAAATAAGTGACATATTCATAAAAATAATGAATTAGGTATAAAATGTAGTGACACGGCAGTCGCAAACGGGGCGTACTGGAGCTGCTCGTGTCGGGACAACAATAGTGCAGCAAGTCGACAAGTCGTGCCGGCGGCAAGTGTGCGACGTACGAGCACAAATGAGGTGCGCGCATCATTAAGTGCGCCGCTGCATTAGAGGTAATTGCAGGCTAATTAGGGCCTCATCCGTTGCGACCCGGCGCACACATCGACGCTTCCTTACACCCCGCTCACGGTAACAGGATGCGATTTTTTCGTAATATGCCTATTGCGGTGGTAGTCTAGCGATAAATTGAACAGTTTCTGTGCATACTTTTCGAAAATACCTATAGTAAAAGGAAAACAAACATCTCGGATCTCTCCCATAGTAAATTCCGACTATTTACCGTTGTCGTCACGCTTGGCATCCAAATTGACGATGTAAAAATATCAAATTTTTAAATTTAATATAAATTAAAGATATACCACAATCTACCGAAGCCCATACAACCTTCACAGCATTTCCCTAAGTTAGGTTAGTATTTACTTATTCTGTCAAGTGCCCAAGTCCCCTCTAAGTGCGATGAGATAGTGATGAATTATTCAATACCTACATCATCGGCATGATCAATGGACCTTCACGTATATTGCATGCTATTTTAATAATTTGTGGCGACACTTCTTTTTGTACTATAAAGATCGACCTGGGAGCGGCAAGAGCGTCCACACCAAATATATTGGTAGGGAGGTCCACATCTTGTGCAGGCGTGTGTAGATGTAGTATTGTCGCTAAAGCCTGCATAAAATGGCGCAAACATAATGACCACGAAAATTACTTATTTAACACAGCGGTAATTATGCTTGGGTAAATATCGATATATCAAAATATAGATTTTTCTCACAAAATCATCGATATATATGGTTGATATATTAATCGCGATATATCAATATTCGATATTTATTTTAGAGTATCGAATTCGTATCATCGTCGATATCTTTTATAACGCATCTCTGTAATCATATTTAATGGTACTAAATACTCCTTGTATGCTCCTCGCACAGAATTTATTAAAAGAAAACCAAAAATCTTCATCAAATCGAATCAAAACAAAAGCAAGATTGCAAAGTTTTTAAAATGCGTAAGAAAAGAAGGAATCAATGAGTTAGCTTCTTGAAATTTGTGCAGCAAGTCGTAAAAAACGTCCGGTAATAAAATTTTGCCACTCATCTAAAAAATTATCGTCATTTTGCATATTTTCAAATGATAAAAATGCAGAGTTCATCAAAAGCAACTAAATCATGCTAAACATGACGATAAATCGATATATTTTTTTCACTTGCCCATCCCTAGCGGTAATATAATATTATTTACGTTTTTGCATTAGATAATACTTGAAATAAATATTTAATAGAAATTTATTGAAAAAAAAAACGTTACAAGCGAAGGTTATGCCTGTCTAAATGAAATTCAATTAATTATCAGAGATATAACGCGTGTGCAAGCTTGTTTAGCGAGTGTACAAACTGTCACATGCGCACTCGGCTAGAATAAAACACAACGCATACAGATACATAGCAAGTGTAAACACTTGAGTCCCACGCACACTCACGCATAAAACATTAATTGTTCCTTCAATTTATCAACACGTAGAGTACTCGACGTCGAAACTACGCCTTTTCGAGATAATTATTTCAAAAAATAATAATGCTTCAGTAGCAAATTTAATTACAACCTTATTTTCTTGTCATTCGTATGACCTTTAATTTGTACACGCGTAAAATACAATTGTTTTACTGCGTGTATTGCTTTGGAAGAATCCAGTCACAAGCCTTCGAGGTATGATTAAAAAGAAGGGCTGCTTTTATAGAGGTCAATAATTGCTTTTTTAATAAAGTTAAACCAACCTCATAAAAGCGCTTCAAGAAATCATTTTGACAGGCTGCAGTTTCGCAACAAGTTTTTATATTGCATATAATTATCGACGATATTAATGAGTAGCATCGTGATTTTGATATGTGATGATTATGTGGTTCGATCTTATTTATGGAGCTTCGTATAGAATCAAATGTTTATTACCGTCTGGAAAATAATTACATGTTTTATAATTATTGTGAAATGCGTAATTATATATAAATTTTCAACACTGTCAATTAATTATTTTTAATTTGTAAAGATAATGTATGTTATGTTAACAATTACACACACATTTTATTTTACGCAGACACCAAGCCGTTAATAATTACCTGCAAAGAGTAAGTCATTACTATAATATTAGCTTTACTTTTTTAAATTTTGTGAATTTTAATGATTTCTTATATTTACGCGAACACTACACACTGAATAAAACTATGTTTACAGATGTTATCGCGTTTAATTTTCTTATTTTAATTCTCGACGTTTCGGGTGCTTTACAGTAAGCTCATTCTGCGTAGATCGAACTAAAAATTAATATTCAAAAACTGAAGGCAGCCGGGCTAATTATGACATCGGAACGTTAAACATCTCAGTCCCGTGACCATAGGTTGCTTTGGTCCCACGATTAATTAAATTAAATCCTAACCCAAAAATTCAATACGATGCGAAATTCTGTATGATTCTATATGATTTATTAATTAATTATAATATCTCATCAGAAGTGTGCTACCAATTAAATTGCGATATGAAAAAAATTGTCATTCCATACCACATCACATCCGCATTAATTGATTAACAATATACAGACTTATTGCACATAGAAAAATTATTCCGCTATCCACACTCTGTAATACCATGTACTATTATTTATTCTGTGATAATACAGAGAACAAAATAATTTTGCCAAGGCGCAGAAGTAAGGTGTTACCTTTACAATAATTACTATTTATAATTATTTTCTCTGGGAAAATAATTTTAATATAATTTAGAGTCGATTTCGGTCCTTAGCTTTTTATATTTACCTTGTTACATATATATTTCAATTATGTCGTGAAGTAAATAGTAAATAACTAGTCCCTGAGCCTGGGCTAACACGATATTTTCTTAGTAATTATATTTAAATGTAAATTTGTGAATAACTTACCAAAGACATGGTTCTCTTGCTGGTTTTTCACAGGATGTTGTGTATTATGTACTACTAGTAGTTACAGTCAATAAAAACCGTTCAAGTTCAATAGATATTATTATAAATAATCTCAAAGATAGATTATAAATAAAATAAAGTTTCTATATTTATTGCTATTAAACGTCTGAATAAATAATTGAATAAAATATTTCCTATCTACTCTATAACGAATTCTATAAGTCAGTTTCAATGTTTGTCCTTGTGTGTACAGTTAAATGGAAAAGTTGTTTTGTCAAAACTTTTTGCTTATGCCGGTTTCACAATGATTTAACATTTAATGTAACTTTAATAGACCTAGAATGACACACAATATTTATCTAGATTGTAGGCCAACAGAAATGAGGTATTAAACTTAATTATGGATGCGAGAATTAATGCTTCCAACCAGTAATTATGAGGTCGCATTAACTTAATGTCTTTGAAGTACTTACGCGCACACACATAAATTCAGTATAATGGGCGTTGGGTACAGTCGAAATTGAAAATGTTATGTTTAGGTTTGTTATTAATTTTAG